CTTAATGGCTGTATGTCAAGCAAAGTGTGTCTGAGAATAACACAAAGAGCTAACCATGACACAGTGACGTAATCATCCTTTTTACCATTTTCAAGCTGTCATGTCCTTGAGGCTGCAACATTCCCCCCCTCCCCATAAAAAATAAAAAAAAACAGATTAAAATACATCAAAAAAGGGATTAAAGAATCTGCCGACACCCTTAAATCCTCGGAAGGGTGTCTGACTCTATCAAAGGATGAGCATGCTTAAATATGAGGCAACACACATGACACATGACGACTGCTAATGTTCGGTTTGTCGTTTCTATCGCTGTGGTGAGGGAGAAATGAGATTTCAGTGAAACCTGATATCAAAGCATAGTGATAAGTGGCTTTGGTTATCTTTATTCGACACAGTCGCCTATAGGTGGGAGAGGGAAAACATCAGACAAACAGAGATGGGGCTAAAACTGAGGAAAACTAACACAAAAAGCAGACGTGTTTAAACCGGATAATTGTCTTATCTGCATTTCAAGAGGTCAGAAAGGAAATAAAACAAAGAGGCCGCAAGACAGTGTGTGTGTAAGAGAGGGAGAAAGAGCAGCATTAATTCCCCTTTTGCTCATTTGGGGGTTTCCCTGTTAAGCGGTGGCTCACCTCGAACAATGCTTAAGGAGAGCTGAGTTCAAAGCGTGCCAGTGGGAGGAGGGATGGCAGTGTGGGAGAACAGCAGACAGTAAAGATGGGATTTCTCATTACTCGCGTCTCGCTCCGTGCCCCGGCTATCACTGCTGTATAGCGCTCGCTCACTCGCTCTCTGCCCTATAATTTTTCTCCCCCTCCTTTGCTCTTTCAAAGACTCAAACTGAATACATAAGATTGGGCCCCACTAGACCACTCTACCCCCCCTCTCTTTCTTCTGAGTCTAGTTGTGTTTCAGCAGTATCTGACTGTGCACACACAGGCTAAAACACACAGAGGCACTCTGTATGACAAGGCAGAGAGAGAGAGAGAGAGAGAGAGAGAGAGAGAGAGAGAGAGAGAGAGAGAGAGAGAGAGAGAGAGAGAGATACCATCTGCACATGGAGGCGACTTCAAAGCCAGACAATATGGAAAATAAATGTCCAAATAAAAAGAATACCGCTATCATAATTATGTTCATGCTATTATAAGTATAAATAAATGATCAGAGCATAAAAATTAAATATTTATCTGATTCATGTGATCCTAAAAGCACAGACTAAAGTCGAGTCTGGAATAAAAAAAACATTTCCAAACAAAGAAATTTGACATTTGATCTCATAAATTCGGATTGCCCTACTCTGTTTTTTTTTTCATGTATTCTATTCATTATTATAAAAAATGTTCCAGCTGTTCCACTGCTGATTATTTCCTTCAGAACTGTTCATTCTTTGATGGATCAAACTGGGGACAAAGCTTCTATGTGGAAGCTATTCAACTTGATTTACTGACAATAAGTTAATTTATAATCAGACAAATGTGGAACAATTCTAACAAACTATAACTGATTAAGCATGTATACGATCTGTGTTTTTTCAATAACAACAAAAACAATGAAGTGTACTGGCTATAACTGACATGGATTTACATTTGATGAAACTATTGGTTCGTTGAGTTTCTATTTAAAAACTCCAAAATGTTTATTTCAACACCAACAAGATGTGACAATTAGAACTGATGAAAAAGGTCCAATAGTTGAGAAAAAAATTAAACAACTCACCGTATGGGTATAGCGACTGACAAAAATAAATATACTTCTCGTTTCCTTTTTGGCTTAAAAAAGACAAAGTTTGAAATAATAAAAGTGAGAAATGACGATAAAGCTTTTACGTGAATGGAATACTTCATGGTATCGTACAGTGAACACATCTAACAGGAGTTGCAGCTTAATTACAAAAATATGAATTTATGTTAACATCCTTCCCTTTCTAATCACTTAAATCTTTTCTAAGTTTGAGTATATGTAGTAGGCAACAAAGTGAAGCTTGAATTGAGCTGGAGCCTGGTGAGGCAAAGAGGTGAAGCAGAGGAGCAAAGGGCCGTAGAGGTGACGGCTGAGGTGGCGATGTGTGGAAGTGGGACGTTTTCTTTGAGAGGAATGAGCCGCACGTCTCCTTGCAATCAATCCCAGATATTACCCCCCCGTATTTGTCAGATATGCTCCCTGCCACGCTAGTCACCCGTGACTCATTCTGTCATTACATCTGAGGGGTCACGCCCACTCCGCCCCCGCCTGCACCATCATTCCCAGGTCTGATGGCGGCCTAATGACCTGCTCCCTCTACTCTGCAATTAACCTTTTTATTGGCCACCTGCCAGCCAGCTGGAGATACATCAGCGACGCATGTGTGTGTGTGTGTGTGTGTGTGTGTGTGTGTGTGTGTGTGTGTGTGTGTGTGTGTGTGTGTGTGTGTGTGTGTGTGTGTGTGTGTGTGTGTGTGTGTGTGTGTGTGTGTGCGCGCAAGAAGAACTGTTAACGCAATAGCTTCATGTGTTTAACACTTGTGCATGTATGCGCGTGCACACTGGTTAAAGCTTTTACTTCTATGAATATCTATGTGAAAAATGTATCAGTCGGTGTGTGTGTGTGTGTGTGTGTGTGTGTGTGTGTGTGTGTGTGTGTGTGTGTGTGTGTGTGTGTGTGTGTGTGTGCCTATAATAGCTGACAGATTTCACCTGCTCCCTTCTTCAAGTAGAAATTGATTGTATCTAACATCCCATCATGGTTGACCCAGGCAGATCCCTCTGGCTGTGAGGCTGCCTGGTAGCAGAGCTCATTTTAGCACAGCAGCTAAACAAGTCTCTGTATTCTATGTCAAAGAAGATTTAGTAACAGGCACTGATGGAGCGCCTGGATGGATTGTCTGTTGCCCATCTGTGGTTGAAAACACTTGGGAGTCGTGCACACATGCATGCACACCGGCATTTACTCATTCACGCAAAAAAAAAAAAAAAAAAACTGATAAAGACACAAACTCCTGACCTCCCATTCTCTTTTCTGTGGTGCAAAATGAATGTGTTTGACAGGAGAATAGCCGTGCTGACTGTTGGGTCCATTATCACTGCGATCACAACAGCATTAAGATAATTTGTATGAAGGCTGGAAGTGGCCACAACACTTTAACACATAGTGAAGCATATTATTTGCCCATTACACTAAGCGCATATCACCCGTTCTGTTGTTGCTGGTTATGTGATTGAAAAATGTCACATCAGAAATGTAACTCCTGAGTGACGAAAAGGTTTACATTATAACTTAGATTTTTTTCAATATTAGACTTACAACTGTTGAGATATTAAAATAACTCTTGAAAGAGAAAGTGCTGTGTAGGGTAATGGCAAGTCCACCAGTCCATGAACCTAATACCAGGACATTTTAGACTTGTGGAAAAAGTCAACCTGAGATCAAACCTCCTTCCCTGCTGCACCAAAGCAGTATCCTACACAGCTACTGTACTACATCAGTGGATGACATATGGCTGCCGCTGGTAACTACTGTTTTATAGTTTTAAATCAAAGAAGAATTTATTTTAAGCTGATAGGACGATAATAAAAAAACACATCCTTACAGAATTCATAGTATACAGTAAGACAAAGGACACTAAAACCTGCATTTCTGAACTGCAATGTCCAGCTATCGATTCCATTCCAAGCAGATACCCACGTTTGTTTTATTAGAATCAGCATGGGATGGAAAAATGGCAACAGAACATCTCAAACTAGACTGAAATCTTCGAAAGGGTCTGCTATAGTGCATTCTGCAGCTGAACCTCTGAACCAGTTATTTCAGAAAAATACTTCACGCCTCTTCCTTTTAAACACTGAAGCACTGTGACCGACCGTTTTGTCAAGACAAGTCCTGTCTCAGGGAACATGATGCACATGCAGTCAGGAAACTGATCCCTCTGAGTGCAGAGGGAACATCTACTCCATCTCTCAGACGGTGCTGTACTGCCTTATTAATTTGTGATTAAGAAAAAGAAACAGATTTGCAGGCCCACAGGCACTCAGAATCAAAGGGGCTTATATAGTACTATCCCATTGTCAACAAGTGGACCCTCTTGAACGTCTTAAAATCTGGCAGAGCACTGCAGAGCAGACAGCACACACAGTTAATGCAGTCTGTGGCTCCTTCAGCTGCAAATTGAATTTTCGGGGCACCTCTTGACTCAAAACACCTAATAATCCAACGTCACTTTATGTTTTCAAACTGAACAAGGTGACATTGGAAGACTAGCGATGTGAGGGAAAAAAAACACACACAGACCCTTGTACAAGCATTTATCCGGTAGGGCAATGCATTCAGGCTGCAGCAAGGAAAGGAATTATATATAAGAGGCTGAACTGTTCAAGGACAAAAAAACAACGACAGTAACAGAAGAACCTTTTCCCACCTCCAGATGATATGTGACTTTGCATCTTAGCAATGGAGTAGCAAAGATTTCAAAAGCATGGTTACAGAATGTTTTTGTTTTCTTTCCACAGTACATGAGGGAATTTGTCTTGTATTGAGATCAATGATAAAACAAGAGGAGATCAAGGACAGACAGATAGATGTTGAGTTTTTCTTTAACCTGTACAGTTTGCATTTTCCTTACCACGTTGAATTCCCACTGAATGTACCTTCTCACACACACACACACACACACACACACACACACACACACACACTTAAGGTTTATTCAGTTTTTGTGGCTCATTAAATCTGACAGGAGCTTTACTCAGAGTTTGGTGTGGTTACTACCCCATACCCACAAGTGTTTATGCTTATAAAACAGCAACATACTGTGCGCATACTAATAGGTAATCCTTTCGACAAGCTTAAGGGAAAAATGCCTATGTAGGTGTATGATAGTATATGCAAAGCCTTTGGTGCTTATGTGCAGGAAGAAATTTTAAACTCACTGATGTCAACTTTGTCAACAATCTTTGGGTAAATGTTAGTGCTCATGTGTTCAGGCTTTATAGCCACAGAGTTTCGTTTAATCTTCCAGGCCTTACCTGCTACAGTGAGACGGGCTGTGCGACTGGAAATTGACCCCAGGTTGTCGATAGTGGCGACGCACTGATAAGTTCCCTCGTCTGGCTTATTGTGCTTCGAGTGAACGACGTGGGTGAAGAGCAGCGAGCCGTCAGGAAGTATGTTTCGCCTCTCGTCTGAAACCAGACTCATGAAGGTGCCGTCTTTCTTCCACTCGATGCGTGCCGTCGTAGCTACGTCGCTGTGGGCAGAGCAGTTGAGCAGTGCCGAGTTGCCCCGGATGGCCAGTGTGTCCTGGGGCTCCACTGTGAACCAGAAGGGGCTGAAGGGCTGCGCTGCTGAACCTGGAGGGCAGAGAGGAGAAAAGAGACGTAAGGAAGATGCTCCACGCGGAGACTGTGTAATGTTTTAAAGATCAGGCCTGTTGTTTGTTATTGTTGTTGAATAGTGGAAGCCAGACTTGATTTTAACGATTGCACAAACCAGCATGTGTCTACTCTCCACCAGTGGTAGAAATGTAAATTTGATGCTTGCCACTGATGCGGTCACTTGTGATATATTAATAAACCACTGACTAAGTCGTGTTTAAATGTAGAACACTAGTAAGAATGACTTCTATCCACAAAAAATCTATGAAAAAAACAAACAATTGATTTAAAAAGAAAAAACTTTGTTGTTTAGGCCATTTCTGAAGATGTTTTACGTAATGTTTTGCTTCTCCCTGACTCTGCACATATGAAACTGAATGAGGTGTTACACAAAGCATTGCTATCCATATCAGAGTTAGCAGAAAACACACACACATTGTTCTCTGTGAATGCAATGCTAAATGATGGCTATAGTGTTAGATAGTAACAAATGATCACAGAGCTAAATAGCCAAAAAGCTGCCGTGTAAGTATTGTTGCGATTGGCCGGGAATGAATTGGGTAGTTTTCGAATTAGTTATAGAAAGAACCACGACTGACTTCTACCCAATATTAGAAGAGTTCGGATTGAAACTAGTCTGTTCTACATTTTGTACACTGGATCCTATAACATGTTTTACATTCATCTGCCGTAGAAGATTCAAGAGAGTAGTAAAATACCATCATTCTGGATACATGGAATCACTACTGTAGCTTCAGTTCCAGTTCAACCTCATGACAACTGACAGCAAAATCACCTCTCCTGAGACATAATCGACTTCAATGGCACATTTTCAAAACACGCTCACACAAAATGTGCTGGTGGGCTGAGTCGAAGGACCCTACAGGACTGCAAGTACCCCACACACTCAATGAAATGTTTCTGTAGCAAAACATCTTCTTCTCCCTTCAATCTTTTCAAGCCACTGTGCCTCAGTCAATCCTAGAAACTCCAAGAGGCTTTTCATTACGGAACCACAAGCCCTGCTGGGGATGGACGAGAGGAACTGACAAATTTAACCCAGTCTAGCCTTTCTGGCAAGTTAATATCACGTCTTGCATTGGTATAAGTAGAGAGTGCAGCAAAAGAGTAAACTCTCTGGAACGCCAAGGCCATTTCTTTTCCTCGAACATAAATGGTAACATCCTGGTGCCATGGATAGTTCCAAAGTCAGAGGAAGTGCAATAGCTATGCATTTGTCCTCATCCATTATTCAAATGCTGCCACCCAAAGAGTCACACACAGTGGTATTGTTTAGATAAATAACACCAATTATCAGTTCTGCAGGGAAGGAGGAAGGCTAGAAAAATAATTAAGAGGGTATGAAGGTATTTTAATAATGCATGGAAGGAGTGAACTAAGTGGCTGAATGTTAAACGCAGTTTAAAATATGTCTGCTCTCTTCCAAAGAAATGGCGAGTCTCCAGAGGAGAACGAGAGCAGAAGGAGACAGCAACGAAGAGAGTAGATGGAGGGGAGAAGAGAGATGCTATGTCAATGGTTCAGCTATTTAACTACTAGGAGGTAATTTCTCTACCTTGCGGTGCCAAGTCCCTCGTGTGAGATCCAAAGAGAGAAGTAATGTAATACATGGTCTATTACGGTGGCAATATGGCTGCTTGTCCTCCGTTCGCTTAGATCTCTTGAAAGCACAAACAATTACGGCAAAATGCTACAGAAAATGGCTGGATTGAAGAGATAAATCTTACCCTCACTTTAGGCCATCAAATGTAGGAAAATAACCTATTCCAGCTATGCTTTGCCATCATCTCCACATCCAGTCACAATGTAAAGTGTTGGGACTGTTGCCACTTTGACTGAAGCATCAGAGTCAAATTGATAAGGAAGCTCTCTTTCCCAAAGACAACATATTCAAAAACATCTCCCTGGGATGGTTGCCACCTTACTTATTTCCCCTAGTAGCGTCTCGAGAACCATTATTACACAAGTGAAACGGTAAACTGGCAATTTCCAAATCAGGTTTTGCCGCAAGTTATGTGCAGCTAAAGACTTTATGCATAATTTTAGGATACATAAACTTTATTACATCTGTGGATGCAACAGCAGCAAAGTTGCTTATGCAGACAATATTTTATTTGAAACCCGCTCCAGGCAGGAGTAGCTGTGATATTTCAGTTAATAAAGAGGAGTCAGTAGAAATGATATACGCTCCTGAGCTAGCAGAACACATTTCCACCTGTAACTCTCAGCAGTGAAAGAGTGCCTTTTTAAATTAGACCCAGGTAAGCAGCAGATTTCAGGAAATCGATAGACTCAGAGATGGTGTACATATTGGACAGAATGTGTCAACACCAGCAAATGTGACATGACAGATGGGGAGAGACCAGAGTGGAGTAGCAGTGGAGGGAATTTGTCACTCCTGCAGACCAGAGGCACCACGGCATGCTTAATCATCTCTGCTTTACGCTGCTGGAGCACTGGGTGTGTGGGTTGGCCAGAGCTTCCAGCACCCAGCCTCCAGCCTCCAGCCTGGCTCCTTTCCAGTCAGAGGACCATCTTCAGCCTTTCTCTGTCTGAGGGAATACACTGAATGAGCTGGAAGGTCCTGCGGCATCCTATCACAGCCAACATAGCAGCCTTCAGCAGCTTTTTATCCCCGTCGCAGGAGCAGTAGGGGAGGGCTTAGCTTCGGCTTCACTGTCGAACAAAATGGCGAACCATCTGCTTTCAGTTGCCGAAACAACATCCACTGTCAGCAGAGCAGGGCAGGGGGAAGACAGAAAGATTGGGCGGAAGATGGGGATAGGCCGGGGGAGGGGGGGGGTGGCTACGGGGAGGGTTTGTTCTTATCCACTCTAAGACATCTTTTTCACAAGTTTGTCCCAAATATTTTAATTATTTCCCTCCAAAAGTCTATTAATAAGACCCATACCAGTCAATCTGCAGACAGATAAACACTCCAGCCAAAAAACAAATAAACAAAACATAGATGCCAACAACCTGAGCCAAATTTCTAACAGCAAAACAGGGAAGGTGGGACTGTGTTATCAGTGGATGGTGAACACACTAAACCCGCATTAAGGCCCCGTTGATGTTTTTTTTTTTTAAGTCAGATGTTTAATCTGTAATAGACCCTTATTGACTTATTGATTATATGTCAAATGATGCTTTATATTCTGCTGGCAGTGTCTAGAGTGTAAAGTACACAGTGATGTTTTTACATTCTGTGCTCCTTTTTTTCATGATACCATGCACTGTTTTCTGCTTTATTGAACCACCATATTAGAAACATACAGTATATGGCGATACCCATACATCTATCATATACCTGTATTGGCAAATGCTATATGTTAATTGAGCTCTAACGCAGACATAACAAATATTTTGATGAAAAGCAACATCAACTTCTCAAAAAGCTTTCATATCAACCCAAATTGGTTGACAGCGTTCTTTCGTGCTTCCGTTGCTTGTAGTCAGTACAGAGAGTAGAAAATCCCAAGAAAAGCTTTCAACATTGAAACATAAGCTTCTACTTTGAGGTCAAAGCCAAAGAAAAGTTTTCTTGTGGCAACTAACAAGGCTGTGAGTTGCAGGCTTGGGAGAAACATTCTAATGAACAGCTACAGAAAACAAGTGACAGCCTCTTGATGTATTTTGAAACCTTCATTGAAAAAGAACTAAACAGAGCAAAAGTTGTAGTACATCATTAAAGTGTAGAGAGAAATTCTAACCAAATCTCGGTCAAAAAAATTATTTAAACAAAATTTTTACGACAACAGGTAATTCTTCCTCTTGTATAGAAGCCTTTTTGTCTTCGTTCATAAGCAGGTGTACACATAACTGTCCTTTTATTACTACAAAACACAAAATACAGCTGAGTTAAATTAATTCTCCCTGAAATATGTCTTATAGTTGAAAGGAGAACACACACATTTTTATGTCAGCATTTATTAGTTCTGAAGCTCTGCAGGCTTTTAGCAGCACAGCTGCAGAGCTAAAGAAGGAAGGGGGTGTCAGAAAGCACATTACAGTGTGGGAAGTCTAATCTATCCAGGCCAGCAGTGTGGGAGCCCCCGTTTGTCTTTGAAAAATAGGAGCCACCGCGCCAGGCGACCAGTGAGAACGAGGGAGAGGAGAGCGAGAGGCTAGAAAATGAGGTTGTCTGGTTGATAAGTATGGGCTGTTACCTCTGTTCCAAATCCACTTTGCTCAGCAGTCATAAAAGGTTCGGGAGCCCAGCTTAAGGTGGTGCCCTGATATGCTGCCTTTCTTTCTCCTTTGCTTTTAGACGAGAGCGACAGAACGGAGACATGGTAGTGCTGTTTTTCAGATGTTGAGCCAGTGTTGAAAGCATCGACTTTACAGGGCTTACTGCCAAGGTGAGGTATGTGTGAACGCAGGTAATGTCTCCAAAGAGCACTGGCCAGACATTTTTAAGATATTTTTGTTTAAGCTTTGAAACAACTATGTCATATCCTGAGTGTCCTGTAAAAGCTGTGGATACCTCAGTTGTGCAATATGTAGTTTATGGCAGCCATGATTATTGTTCTGCAACAACATAAGAAAAGTTGACAATTCCTGCAGTGGATTCTACAACGTTACCATAACGACTGTCTCACTAAAGGCAATGAATCATCATTTGAGTACACCGCAGGTTGTCTCGTATTTTGACAGTCCAATATACATACTTTATTTTCTGTGGGATCATTGTACCCAGAGCACTGCAGAAGAAACGTCAATGGGCCTGGAGCAATGTGATTAACCTTCAATTAAACTATACAGCTAAATGGCATCGGTGCGACTCAAATTCAAAAAGTACTTATGTCCAGCAAGCAGCATGAGCTTATGGAAACTCTGATAAACATGCCTCTTAGGAAGGTAAAACAAGAGACCTGTGTAATGTGAAATAGGTATTTGATGTTGTGCTGACCTAAAAATGGAGTGAATAGTCAAAGCTTGGTATTGAAATAGCAAAT